CCCTGCAAGTTTTTCATTTCAACAGAACAGAGTGTCTCTCATGAATGTAAATCAGAAGAGACGTCATCAAATAATGTGAATAGAACGAGAAAATTCATTTCAAACAGAAATCTTATTTACTTTTTATCTGGAGCATTATTCGACGACAGAATGTAATGTCATTAAAAAAAAGAGATTTTCTTTATAGTTTTTTCACTACACTCTAGATCAATGTTTAGCTCTTTGATTACGGGGCCCGTATATATATCGTTTGATCTTTTATGCTGCTGGTATTACAGTATCAGCATATTGTATTACTATGCATGTAGGTTTGCAAAAAGACTTGAAACAAATTTTTAGTCTATATTAGGGGCTAGTTCAACTGCTTTCAAAAATATATTTTTCCATTCAAAAGATATCAGTTTACAGTCTTAGAATGTCTAATTCAATATTTGATTCGTCTTTCTTTTGATTCTATAATCGAGAGATACCTGCTTTCTATGCTGTTAATCAAATTGATTATAAATTTTTCAGTATTAATATTTAAGAAAATTTAAATGGCATGTGACTTTGCTGGTGCAAGCAATCAATTCACATTGTTCACGTTAGTTTTCAACAGGGGTGTGGGTGTGAGTGTGAGTAACCGTTCTAGTCGGTACCCATACACCACATCTACCCCCACACCCACCCACACTCACACCCACACCCCCACCCACACCCACACCCACACCCACACCCACACCCACACCCACACCCACACCCACACCCACACCCTCAAATGCATATTTATAAAGTAAATATTTCCATATAACTTCAGCATACATATTTTGTATATTTAAAACTGATTTCATATCAGTTAAATACATAAATGAAGAATTTTCATCAAATATCGTACAATTACTTGTACAAAAAGCAAATAATGATAATGTTAATTTAACAAGATCAATATTTTGATCTAATGATGAAATTACTTTTAAAGTTAATTGATATGAAATTGAACCATATATAATTTCCAAATCATTACGAAAAGCTGAATTTTCGATAAGTTCCGATTGACGTAATATGAAAGGTTCACCAAGACAACTGATATTATCGGCAGCGCCACGTAAAACAATTGAACGATCATGAACAGGCAACGAATTAATATCATGATTCGATTGAACAAATGTTTCTGATGGTTGACAAATAATTGTACTAACTCCAATTGTTGTTGCAGGATCAATTTTATAACGTAATTTTGGATGTAAATGAGGGTGTGGGTGTGGGTGTGGGCAAGGGCAAGGGGGAAACAGCAGAGACTTCGGTCGTGAAGTCCCATGAAGTCTTGAGAGTCTTTTAAAGTCTTCTGAAGTCTCATGAAGTCTCTTGAAGTCTCTTGAAGTCTCTTGAAGTCTCCTGAAGTCTTTTGAAGCCTTGAAGTATTGAAGTCAGCTGTTTCCCCCTTGAATTATAGTCTATATGAGTGCATCAGCGAGATTTTTTATCGAATACATAATTGAATGTACTCTCTGTAATGAAACTATTTGCAACTTAAAATTCGCTGTCTAGTAAAGCATTTTTGCTCAAATACTACTCTTCGGACCCAATTTGTGTGATTTTTCACTAATCTTCGACAATTTTCGAATAGATTATTCCACATTTAGTCTGAAACAGATATTAAATTTGAAATTCGCATAAAAAAACTAGTTGATCTATGTGTGTTTGAAATTTTTTCTGCTGCTTTTTTCTGGGTCAATTTTTTACTCTCTAATCACCCTCCGGAGTATATAAACAGAAGCCTAATCAAAACAACTGTTTTATTGGTTGTTCAATGGTCTTTTTGTCGTCAAACGACATTTAATAAGTTTAAAAATTCCTTTACATCACCAACATAGTTTTTTGAGTAAATTAATTTTTTCACCTGTCCCTGAGAGGGACTAGAGAGTAAACAATTTACCCTAAAAAGCTGCAGAAAAAATTTCAAACACACACAGATCGACTAAGTTTTTAATACTGATTTCAAATTTAATATTTGTTTGAAGCCAAATGCGAATTAATGTGGTCGTCGAATATCAGTCAAAAATGACACAAGTTGGGTGTTAAGAATAGTGAGCAGAGAAAAGCGCTTTACAAGACATCAAGTTTCAAATTGTAAACGGCTGGTCAGAAAGAACACACTAAATTACGCATTCGGCAAAAAAAATTTCGATTGCCCACTCGTATAAACGATAACCTCTAACAGGCAAAAAATCACTGGTTGAAGCAATATGATCAGATCGGGGTGGTATTCGGTATTTATCGATAAAAAAAGTTTTCAATATAT